CTCTATGCCTCTCTGCGCGTGCACGAGAATGGCAATGCAGCGCTCGAACGCGCAGTGCACAAGTGAGGCCCGTTCGAACGCTGCGCGCGCTTATAACCAGCCTCACGGGGAGATGCGGGTTGTTACCGTTATTTTTTTATTTTTATTTTTTTTTGGGGGGGGTGGGGGGGGGAGGAAGTTTTGTCTACAGGCTGGTTATTGTTTTTTTTTTTTTTTTTTTTTCAGGGGGGCACGTTTCGCCTACGAGCTGGTAACCCGTTTCGCCTGGGGCAATGCCCCATAGGCCCCCCCAACTACCCCAAGCACCGCCGCCGCTCCCCGCATCCCTGCCCAACCCCGCGCAACCCCCTCCGCAAACGCGTCAATCGCGTTTACCGGCGTTCACTGAACGCGCATCGAGTGCGTTCAAAAGCTGAACGCGGAACGCGCGTTCAATGAACGTGTGGTAACACAGACTGTTTGTCATGGGCAGCTGCTTTGCGCATAGCCAGACAAAATTCGTTAGTGTTCCTGACCCTTGATCTAAATCAACGACCAGGAGCTAGGAGCCTTGGTTTTCCCCTAGGGGGACCAAGGTCATCAACCCCCAAAAGTATGTGGTTGTTTTCCCAGGCCAGATACTCATGTAAATTGTTGTACTTAGCCATTTACTCCAGCCTGTTCAAAACGAACAGGCGCAGTCCCATCAGTCCATACATTTTTCTAGGGGCTGCACCTGTTCCACAGCCATGACCATATTCGCGGTCGTTTTCCCTATCTCTCCTTTTCCTCCCTTCTTCTTCTTTTTACCCCTTGTATCTTCAAGTTCCCTGAACCCGCGGCCACGTATGTGGCCGTCACTTACTTTTCTTTTCTCCCTTTCTCTCCTTTGTTTACTAACCCTACATTTCAAAACGCGTCCGCATCTTGACATCAACAGTATTAGGTTCGGGCATTTGCAAACAGTTGTTGCCCGTTTTCAACCACGAATGGACACAGTTGTTCACACCCAACGTTCTAAGGAGGGGGGGGACTAAGAACAAAAAAAAGAAAAATTGAAATAAAAAAGGGAAAACAAAAGAAAAAAACTACAAGAAAAGGAAAGACGAACTCACCTGAGCGTATGCAGAGTCGCTAGTAACCACGCCCCCGCACGTAGCCGCCCCGCGCGGCAGATTCATTCAATCCTTGCCCATCCTTAGATCGGCTATCGGGGCACAACCCCCTGATGAGTCGGTGCAAGTCCGACGAAACAGTCTAGGATAGTCATGCCCATTTCAACGGGCACAGCGCATCCAACAGGCACAGCCTCAGTAGTGGCACAACCACTGTGCCTGGCCGACGACGTATTTGCCCGCGTCCAGGCTGAAAATTCATCCGCATTTTCCAATCCTGTCAATGGCAAGTCAGCCCTACTTTTTCAGAATGATCCCAGCATCATCCCACTGGCGGCCACTCAAAACAATCATTTAGTGTCTCAGAATGGTACCGGAAAAAGCTTCTGGTTAAGCTTCAAAACCCCAATTGGTTGATACATCCATTTATCTAAAGAAAGTCATGTTTAACCCCCTGACGGGTCTTTCAAAATAATTAACCTCTTGGGCAGCCCAGACAAAATATGAACCAACCATTCATGAGAGAAACCTTTCGTTCAAAGTTCCCCGACCAAGTTATGATCCTCATTCCAATTCACATAAGTTATATTCCAATTCACATAAGTTATCATGCCCGTTACTTGTGAACCCCTTGTGAATGCATCGAGGAGTGGTGTAATCCGTATAAGGATAGCATCGCGACATCAAGCCCCACTTTAAATTTGAGCCTCACCACAAGGGATCTTTAGAGAAGACAGGGGGTTCGTCAAGAGGTGGAGGTTTTAGTTTCTAGAGAGTGTGAAAAAGAGAGACCACGAACAGCTACAACAAGAAGAGTCATCTAGATCTGTAAAGCGGGAAGAAAAGAGGAACGGTGAAAAAAGAAAAAACAGTAAAGAGGCAACAACATGAGGGAAGACGATGAGTACGTGTCAGTTTACTAACGACAAGCACTCCCTGCACGTGGTTGGAAAGATAGGACTTGCCGCCTATGTGGTGATTTGGCTGAAGCTTCTAGCGAGATTGGGAGTGACTGAGGAGGCGGAGTGTACACGGAGAGCGCTGAGAGACGCGCGAGGCATTGCACTCTGGTAGGGGTCGAAAACGAACGCCTTATCAGGTATGTGTTGATCACAACGTTGTTCGAAGGCGGGGTTTCCGTTCGCTCTTGGCATGAAACCCCTAGTGTGACGAAGAGGCTTATGAAGAAAGAAGCTAGGGAAGCAGGAGAGCTATCAAGAGTTATCGTACACGGAGCAGTTCTCAGGACACTCTCCGCGCACAACTGATAATGGAAGGAGTTGATAAAGACTTTAGAGGACATAGAGGACTTTGAAGATAACGACGACTTTGAAGCCTTCTATCTTGTCCTGCGGGCGTCCACGGAGAGGATGTTGATGATCCTTGCGTTAACTGCCCTCGAATGCTAGGCAATCTGAGAGAGTTGGACATGAGATTAGCCTATCCGAAGAAGAATTGGCGCGAAGGAGAGGTAAGTTCAGGAGATGGAACAGACCACGTTGACACGAGAGTGAGAGAGTTGAACGGAGTCCGAGTAAGATTGGTAAGAAATAGATTTTCCCGTACCAAGTAGTTAGGTACCAGGTAGCGAACAGTGGACAGGAAAGGAATCAATTTTATGTTATGAAGGTATGCTACCTGGATTCGGGCATACACCACATTAGGATATACCTGTCGAGGGAGAGAGCGGAGTTCCGCACATACTCGAGGTGGTGGAGGATAGCTTCTTGGAAGCTGAGGGAAGAGAAGGAGAGATTAGAGAAATTATGAGAGTTCATCGAGACAAGTGACGACATCTCGATCTTCGATGTTCTGCCTAGGCCGCCAGTTCCAGGAGGGGGACTTGAGCGGAATGGATGAAAGGTGATTGTAGACTTTGCTGGGACGGTCAGAGCAAGAGATTGTCATAGGAAGATGCTTTGAAACCAGAAGGAACTCGGTGTAGGAGCTAGTAGAGGACGAGTGTGGAGAAAGTGATCTCAGATGAGGAGTTAGAAGGTAGAAGGGAAAATTTTCTTGCCAGAAATAGGTCATCACAAGCGAAGTTAAAGGTTGTTTGCACTTCCTTGAGTTCCTTAGGAAGAAGGAAGATAGTTTCGTACGAGGTTGAGATGTACAAATTGGTGGACAACGGATGAGAGAAAATCCGTCTTTATGTGATGATCGTTCGGTTTATCGATACTGACGTATACGGCATTCGGATCTACTTGCTGGTAGAGAGAGATCGATCTTGTTTACGGTCGGTGCTGGAGACCGAAAGAACTAGTGGAGGAAGAGAAGGATAGGTTGTTATCGCTAGGGAAGAGCGTTGTTTGGGACACCTGGATAATAATCTTCAAGGGGCTCCCTAAGCCACCTGCTCCTTATGAAGTAATGAGAAGGGAGAACTGGAGGATTACCGTCGAGTTCGTTTTACGGTATCGAGATGTTAATGGCCAGAGGAGGTGAGTTCCCCCCGGAATGAGTAGAGTGGTTCAAGGGGGATTGCAGGGAGAGTTAGGCCGGAGAGCTTCGACCAACCTACTTCTGCTCTTGAGGACGTGGACTCACGAGGACATACACGTCCTGAGAAGTTCTATTTGTAGAAGGGTTACATACCCTGAGACGGGAATAGTGGAGATAAGTAGAGGTGCTGCATGTGTAGCAAGACGGGAAGGAGAACTCTACCTCGATACCGATATTTTTGGAATAGAAGGCGAGCACGAAATTCGAGATGGGGGCGGAAGGTTGAGAGTTATTGTGAGAGTTGTGAAAGACTAGGGTTCGCTTCAGGAATAATCGAGTAATGAGTAGGTCCGGGTTGCCGGTTCTGACATTAGGTCCGGGCTGACGATTCTTATATTGGATCGGGGCTGCCGGTTCTGACATTGGATCAGGGCTGCTGGTTCTGACATTAGGTCTGGGCTGCCGGTTCTGATATTAGATCCGGACCTCCGGTTCTGACATTAGGTTCGGGCTGCCAGTTAGAATGCATGGAGTCTGACACGATGGGTCCTCATTCGAGTATGGACCATTAGACTAGCGTATACCGGGCATAACCAGACCGTGCTCTGCGAG